TCACTTCCTTTGTCCTTATCTTTATTTTTCTTACTGTATTTTCTTTTCTAAATGAAATAATTGTATTCTACTTTTACACAAACATCAGTAAACGTCCACTCTGCCAGGGACACTGAAACATCTTCGCCTCGCTCGCCTGGATGTGCGTCCTGTACGTTATCAGAAACATCATGAGAAGGCTGACCTTTAAGGAAGAAATGAAACAAACTGGCTGACATCATGACAACGTTTCTGCTCTGAATCCCTCGTTGTGTCACTGTCAGTCAGTCACCGTGTTGCCCACACTGAATTACGGAGCATTTCCTCATTTGCAGTGCGTTCGGTGACACAGGTCATGTAGCTGTGTGTGCAGCAGCAGCATCAGCCTGGATACTAACTAACTGCTGGACATGGAGCACTTTACCCATCAGTAAACCATCACTAAAGGCAATCATGGTAAGATTTTTTTTTATTATCTACAGTGTTATCTAGAGAGTTTTCTTGTTGTTTTCTTACTGCATCAATCCGAATAACAACTCCTCCACTGCACCTCTGACACTTTTCTTTCATCTCGACCACCACAGCATCTCTGAATAACCTGACTTTTGAAGAAAGAGCCTTAAAACCAACCTCAGCTTCATTTTGTCCCGTAGCTAAAACAGAATCACCTTTCAAACTTTTAACCTGGTTTACTGACAGACAGTGCATCCATACATCCAGTAAAACGTTCTTTAGCTTCAGTTGTTCTGGAAAGAATATGAGCAATTTTCTCAGAACAAACGGGGAAGTTGGAGTTTGAAAAAACAAAAAAAAAGAAATGTCCATGCAGCTGCGGATGAAAGAAAGCTTTATTACAGAGTTATCTCTTGTTAATGATTCACAGGTGGCTCAGTGCTGCTGCTTGTCCACTTATCAGTTTATTTACAGTTTAGGGAGAAGATCTATTTCCTACTGTTCATCCAGAATTAGACGTTTAAGTTGCATTTTCATACAAATAAAAGGGTCGAAGCTCATGTTCAGTTCTTAACTGAAAACTGTACCAGCTTTTTCTCTTATTAGGGTATGTCCAGCTTTAGATCATTGTGACTCATCTCTGAAGCCAATCTAATTATATCACTTAATCAGCTTTACGTGTGAAAAAAGAAACGCTGATTTTGGACAGCACAAATGTAAACAGTACACAACATTACAGCTACCGAATATCCCAGAAAAAAGCTGACTTTAACACACAAGACATGTTTAAAAAAATATATGACTTTAAATGAGTCGTATTTTATTTGAGTCTGTTAATAGTTGTGATATTTTCTCGTCGGGTCGTCTCTGCAGCGCACCTGCACAGCCACAATCTGCGGCAAGACCGTTTTTAAAACCATCTGAGTTAATGTGTCGGTGTGTACACTCGAACACACACACACACACACACACACACACACACACACTCCGCTGCAGACGCTCGCTGACTGAAAGTGGAACCCTCGAGTGTTCGCGTGTGCAGGTTCTGTGGTGTAGAGAAAAGGTTTGTGACTGACTTCCTGTTTTCCCTGCAATAAGAGAGCAGCGAGCAGCGCTTGCAGCTTATTGGTGCAGGAGTGACAGCAGAAGGCGTTACTATGGTAACCGGTGCAGGATGCTGCACGAGGTACAGAGGTGTGTGGTTGCGACACTTCCTGCTCTTCAACCTTTCTTTGACTTTGTAAAGGTCTCAGTTTTAGGCCCTCCGACAATAGATGGTGTGGTTCCCTTACTGTCAACAGAGCTTCAGTGATTTTTACTCGGCCGCCGTGTTCACCAGCTCTCTGCCGCCTCTGGTACATTCTGGATATTAGCTAGCAAGAGCTCCTGAAAACAATTTAGTGTCTCCACCTGTTAAAGTTCATGTAAACCAATGCCGTAGTTTTGTTTTGTTTTTTAAGTTAAATTAGTGCTTTATTAAAACTGTCTTCCTTCTATTGGTTCAACATTTAAACCGAAATATATCAAAATTACAGTTTTAGTTGTGACACAAAGACAGAGGTGGTAATTGTGTTAAATGTGTTCCTGTGAAACACTTCATAGTCGGTGCATTTTAAAACTGTGTGGGTTTCTTGATGTGCTCTATTTGACTTCAAGGACGATGCAAATTAATTAGTGGATCGTTTTCAACTGCAGTCCTTTGGTAAGATGTTTTGTGAGAAGAAGCTTAAACATTACACACAGAGAACAGCTTGCCATGAGGAACAGCAATGCCAACAAAATAAACAGTCAGCATCAACTGGCAAAACATTAGCTCAGTCGTACAACAACGATGTCCTCTATAAGGAACACGTAGCGATGCAGGCGAGAAAACAACCTGAACAACACTGATTACAGCCACTGTGGTCGTGCGCTTGCAGTTAAGAGTTCCAGTTAAGAGCAGTGGGAGAAATTAAACAGGAAACAACATGTGAGCATCCAGTTGAATAAGAGTGAAGAGTCAGTGTCTGATCACCACATGAGTTGGATTCAACTGTACACCAGAAGCCCTGTGCAACATCACCTGAATACGGAATAATTCAAAACTGTATCATCTCACAGTAATTACGTTATTTCTAATTTAAGAATAACTATGTTAAAAAAACACATCAGTACACGTTTCATTACTGAGATTCAAATATATTATTTTTCATTACTTTGTGAGTCCATCTTTAATTCTGATGACGGACTCGATGCTCCTCAGCAAGGAAGACACTCACTGCTACACGTGAAGAGCTCATTTGCAAAAACATCTTCACAAACCTTCAGAAAACCCACTTTTCCATCGTCTACCTGAGACAATCAATCTTGAGTTTTCTCTGTTTTTGTCATTTCTACTGAGTCAAATCCACTCGACTTCGGTTTGATTGATTTTATCTCAAACAAACAATAAAAAAATAAGTTTTCTGAAAATCTACAAAAATGGAGTTATCTGTTTCTGTGAATGAACTCTACATTTTCCTTTCAAATACTTCAAAGGTTTTCTGTGGGATCCAAGTCAAGTGACTTACAGTCAGTGTTTTCATGTTTGTCTTCTTTGGAAACTCTTGTGAGTTTTTTCCCGTGTGCTTTGGATCCTTGTGATGATGAAATATTTCGCTTCTGCCAAACTTCTGCAGACTGGGAGTCATCTTGTCAGCCAGCATTTTAATGTATCCAACTGTTCATTGTGCCATCTGTAAATGTCATCTTCCCAACACCTTTTGCACTCAGCCCCATATTATCACACATGCTTGTCTCATCTAACCTAAGAATGTGCTCCCAGCATTCATCAGGCATCTCTTCATGTTTTTTTTTTTTNACACATTCTGTAGACGTGTGAGACTCATGTTCACTTGTTAAAAACGAGTGTAATGTGGGACCTTTAAACAGAATGAACTTGACTTGATTCAGATTTGTTTTATTGTCATTGCAACGAGTACAACAAAAAGTAAGGTGCAGGGATTTCAGTGCAAAAACAAAAATATAAAAACTTTGTAAACAACTATATACAATAAAAAAGAAATATGTATTAAAAAAACTCTATATAAAAAGATGAAATTAAATAATAAACATGAACAAAGTGCATATTGCACAGAGTGGATATTGGACAGAGGTAGTAGCAGTTGTATATTTACAATATATTGCACTTATTGCGACAAGGAGGCGTTTATAGCTCTGACAGCAGTTGGAAAAAAGCTGTTTTTCAGTCTGTTAGTCCTGGTTCTGATGGCCCTGTCCTGGTTCTGATGGCTCTGCACCATCTGCCCGACGGCAGTAGCTGGAACAGGAAATGTCTACAATTCTACGATTTCATTTGGCAGACGCTTCTATCCAAAGCGACGTACATCTGAGAGCAGATACAACAAAATGTCCCGGGTGGTCGGAGTCCATCAGGATGGTGTTGGCTCTCCTGAGGCAGAAAGAGCCATGAAGGTCCTCCAGTGTGGGCAGAGGGCACCCAGTGACCTTCTCAGCCATGTTGGTGACCCTCTGGGGTTCTTGCCACTGTGCAGCTGGCAGACCACGTACAGAGGCAGAAGGTGAAGATGCTCTCCATGGTGGAGCGGTAGAAAGACACCAGCAGTCTCTGGCTGATATTGTTCTTCCTGAGTCTTTTTTGTGCCTTCTTTACCGAATGTGTGGTGTTCTTATTCCAGGTCAGTTTCTCCTCAATGTGAACTCCCAGGAAGCAGAAGTCACTGACCCTTTTTGTACAGAAAAGATAAAAAACATCAAGTCTGAGAAACCCTCAGTGTATTTCACTTCACTTCCTTTGTCCTTATCTTTATTTTTCTTACTGTAT